TACGTTGTATTTGAAAAAACTTAAGCTGACAACACATACTTGACTTGAGTAACACATATTAATATATATGCTTAATTTTCTTAAGAATAGTGGTGATTAAAATCATGTAAAAATTAAGTTTATAAAAGAGAAAAATAGAATAGATTTTTTACCACTTTAAATATAAAAATTAAATTTTACGCCAAATGCGTAAAAGTTGGCAGGTAATACTCTATCCAGGAGTTCTCTTGTCTTCTGGATTGGGTTCAAAATTACAAGGCTACGGAGTTGAACATTAGTAGTCGTAAACCCATAAAATAGGGTCGGCTGTTCAACGAAGGTTTTAAAAAAATAATAAAAACCCCTCAGCGCAGTTTATGTTTATTGCGTTGGACACCTAAATCGGAAGCCTTCTCTCTTTTAGGAGATGTTGGCTCAATCCACTGAGCCACCGCATTTCCTGAAATATGTTGACATCAGGGAAACACCTTTCTTTAGGAAAAAGGTTATTTTATTTGAATAGAAATGTTTGATGGGAAATATTTACGTAATTGTTGCAATTGCAGATTTAAAAGAAAAAAAAAGAACTATCTTTTTCATTCACTTCAATTATTTCATAAAAATAACCGAAATATTAAATAATTAATGATTGGATATAAATATAAGTACAGGTTTCAAAAATTACTGATATTTAGAAGAAAAAAAAACAACTATCGGAACCCCTGTGAAACACCCACGGAACCCTAGGGCTCCTCGGAACACCGTTTGGGAACTGATGGTCTGGATAAAATATATGTAATCATAGGAACCAGAAACGATGACAACGAAAGCCTGAAATATTTAAATATGACGCCAAGAAATGTGTTTTTAAAACACGAAAATATACGCTATCCGGAGATGACACAGTAATCTACAAGCGGAAAAAAAAAACACATTTTTTTCCCTCCGCTGACAAAAATATTTGTCGATTCCTCCGGAATTATTTGTAAATAAAGTTCTCTGGTGAAAGAGTAAACTAAGTGAGTTTGAAAACAGAGAACTGTGTTTTCCCCGCCTTGTTTTTATTTCTAACTGGAACTTGCTGCCATTTTCTTTAAATCTAATTTACACACTTAAACTATTTATTTATCCGTAACTTCCAGATGAAAGCTAAAAACTGAAGTTGTTTTTAGACCACCAACAAACGATTTTTATTTATACTTTTTCAGGGATTACGATCGATTTTGGAAACTACGGGTCCTTAGAACTTGAAATATTCAAATTTCTGAGTCCTTCTCTTACTAAAATCGGGTCCTTATTTAAAATAGGGACCCGCTTATACTTGTGATTTTAATATTCTACAGTGACAAAAACATGAACTGAATTCACCATTATTCTAGTGGCAATTTTTTTTCTTCATTTTATTTATTTTCCTTTTTATTAAAGTTGAATTTCGTTTAGAATTATTCGTCCCAGAGGAGTCGTCATAACCATTTTTTCGTGCTCATATGACGATTTTTGGCGCATTTGACGCGTTATAGCTTACAGACGGAATAGCTGATTTTAATTGCACGATCACTCTGTTGAACACTTAATAAAGAACAAAAAGTAAATAAAAAAAATTCCGACATTTAGTAACAGGATTCTATAAAATAAGGATTTATACAACTTTTCTATAAATATCATTGCGTAAAATTCAACTTGCATTTAAACAGCATGAAGCTTTTATGAATTATTTTTAGATACTTTATAAACAAATTTTGCTACACATATGTTAAGTTAAACTGAATTTTTATTCTAATAATATCTGTCTGACTACGTTGGGGTCACTGACTAAGTAGGATTTTTGAAAATAGCCTCGCAGATTTACTTTTTAAATTCTGCTATCATTCTTGTTGCTTCAGCTTACATTTAAGTTTTTAAATGCGTCTAGACGCTTCTTCCCGTTCTTAAGAAGTCTGCAACATTTTAATGAAGGAGATAAACAATAGATTTAGATTGTTGTGCTTGTTTATTATTTCATCATTTTTGTATTTTCGTTATTCTGAAGCTCAGAGTTGCCCAAGCCGGAAGTTACAACTCTCTGCAACATTTAAAGTGGATATGAAGTAACAAAAAGTTTATTAAATCCCGCATGCACTTAAATAATAACATAATTATCAAGCATTTAATATGCATTTTTAGATTATATAATCTGCTGAGATCGTTGCCTTACATTGGATAGAGACGACTCGCATTTTCGCTTCATAAGCAGGAGATCGAGAGTTCAATCCGAGAATCTTGGCAAAAATTAGTTGTGCAATGGGTCCCGCAGTGGACTGATCGTTAAGACGCGGTTCCCAGCAGATCATCGAAGTCAAGCATCAGTGGCTGCTGTCAGTGTGCGGATGGGTGACCACTTGGATCAGTCTTCGTAGGCACCGAGGGTGTGTGGTATTGGTCCTCGTTAAACTATTCTGCCATATAGTGCTCGACTTCGGGTACATGTCGTTGGTCTACCGAAGCGGGGGTTTCATCCCTTCTACAGAGGATCAAAATTGTGATGGCATGTCTTTGGATCATCCTCAGGGATGTTTCCCAGACTGTCGCCAATAACCCATTGTGCAACTCTAGTGCGACGTAAATGAACTACAACAGCAACAGTTGTGCAATGCTACTTGTTTTTTTTTAAAAAAAAATTCGTTAACTTTTTAATTTTTAAACTGAAAAAATCCATAGAAACCGTTGTAGTAAAAGGTCAAAACCGGTATTGGTAGCTACACTGTTCGCTCTTATGTGAATAAAATGATCTAAATTTTACTCCAAGAGGGACACTTAGAAAAAGACACTTTTTCGTGTGGATGGAGGGATAAAAAGTTAAATAATATTAAATGAGACAAGAAATTCATAAGTTTGTTTCGCGAATTTACTAAGTGGCCTAAATAAATATCATATACAAACAAATGAATTTACTTAGTATCCTAAATAAATATTATATACAAACAAATGAATTTACTTAGTATCCTAAATAAATATCATATACAAATAAATATCGAATTATAGCTGATAGAAGTGGCTAAGTAATAGAATGTATGCTACTCGCTTTTATCTCATATGTCTAGAAAATTTAGTTTACAGCATAATCAGCTCATCTAGCTGGTTAAAAAAATTGTTTCAAGCCTTATATACTTCACTTAGGCGCTTGATTTGTTGTTGTTAATTTACGTCGCACTAGAGCTGCACAATGGGCTATTGGCGACGGTCTGGGAAACATCCCGGAGGATGATCCGAAGACATGCCATCACAATTTTGATCCTCTGTGGAGGGGATGGCTACCCCGTTTCGGTAGCCCGACGACCTGCGCGTGAAGTCGAGCACTTTACGGCAGCACAGTTTAACGAGGACCAATACCGCACACCCTCGGTCCCTACGCAGACTGATCCAAGTGGTCACCCACCCGCACACTGACCGTAGCCAGTGATGCTTGACTTCGGTGATCTGCTGGGAACCGTGTCTTAACGATCAGTCCAGTGCGGGACTAGGCGCTTGAAGGTATTCTTTTATAAGCTTTTAATGACATCGAAGCATGAATCTACGGAGCTCAAACCTCAATAGGATAATCACGCTTGACTAAAGTAGGATCAATTCTTGAGTTATGGTGAGAATCGAACCCGTTACCCTCACACTTAAAACCGTTGGTGGAAAGACAATATAACGCGTTTACATAGCCTAGGACATCAAATATGAACTTAAGATACTAATTATGCTACTAAGTGCTTGTATACTATTCTCGCGTCAATTGCCCTTTGTGAAGCGTAAGTGCGACATAAAAGTACTACTGTTGTTGTTGTCGTGTCTATGCTAGTGCAAAGATTAGAGTCCTCCAAAAGTCTTGATAACAAGAAAAACTAAAAGTACTACTGCTAAGTACATATGCTCTTTGTTTGTTGTTGTTGTTAATTCACGTCGCACTAGAGCTGCACAGCTCTTTGTTTGTAAGCACTGAAGTTTATCAGTGATTTCCAAACACCAGCTTGAAACCTTCTCTGACGCAGCCCAGGCTTCAGTTTCAAATGCCGTAGCAAAAAGTTGGATGCTGAAATAAGCACAAGTTTGGAAGAGTGTGACGTAATGCGACGCAATATAATAGTTCGCAATAGAAAGACGTTGTTTTCAAACAGGAATTTATTCTCATGACGCTTAGGTAGCATACTTATGAAGTTTGCTACTGTTACGAATTTTTAATATTATTATAGTCTCATTTGATGATTGCTTCCGTTCACTGGGATAAGAGCTGGTCTCTTAAACTAAATATTTGAATATAATTTTCAAAGTAGGTCCGTGTCAGTATTTATTATAGTATTTGTTAAAATTATGCTTTTTGGCTAAATTAGAATTACATTTGAGTATTTCAACGGGTATTATTGAGAAATGTTTTGCACGCATTATATTGGTATCGATTGTATTTGAAAATGTTTTTTTGGTCTCATCAAAATTGTTCTAACAATTTTGTTAGAACAATTCAATATATTTCTAAGAATATATAGCACAATTCGTTTGGTATTTATCGTATTTGTTTATGTTTTGATCCTGAGCTAAACGTTCTAACAGGCAGCTTTAAGCGAAATATCTTAATCTACGTTTTATATCTGGATCTATTGTAATTGTTAATGTTAAAGTATTCGAATAAGTAACATTAAGAGAAATATCTTTAACAATTCGTTATATTGGTAATGAATGTATTTGTTGTTTCAATCTTGAGCTAAGCGTTCTAATATTTAAAGCGTTCTAACCAGTAACTTTAAAAGAAATGTCTTCGTTTTATATCGGTATTGTATTTGTTAATGTTTTTGGTCTTCATCTAAATTTTCTAACAACTGATATTTAGAATTTCTAGCAAAATTCGTTATATCTGTATCTATAGTATTTGTAAAATGTTTTTGGTCTTCAGCTGAATGTTTTAATTAAAATATCCTAAGAATTAACATTGCGAAAAATGTCCTGCTCATTTTGTTATGTCAATTTATTGTATCTGTTTAATATCAAATGTGTTCCAACAACAGGTAACATTGAGAGAAATGTCTGGGTCAACGTGTATGTCCACCAGCTGTCAGTTGAACAAGCAGACCACTCTGAAGTACCTGAACTTGCCCCAGCCCGAAGACAAGGTGCAATGTATGTATGTATGGATTGATGGAACAGGGGAGCAATTGAGAGCAAAAACGAAGACCTTGGATTTTGTTCCTAAACATCCTAGCGGTAAGTTTTCTTTATTTGAAATTCAAGGTCGTCGGGAAGTTAGCCAAATTTTCAAATCGTTCAAGAAAGACTTGTTGAATACTATTTCCATGAAGGCAAAAGGTGTTTTTTTTGTTGCTTAGTATGCTGTTAGCTTGTTAAAATTCCCGAACTTCAGTACATATCTGGTAACAATAACAAGGAACAATTCGGCTTAAAAATGTCACCTTTTTAAAAAAAAAGCTCAGTTAATCATTATATTACCTACAGTTGTTAGTAATTGGAAGCAGCTGTTTGAAAATATTATTTTAAAATGTTACAAAAGTTGTCTGAAATTCTAGCCATTTTAAGTTAATTTTGCTTTTTGCGTTTATCAACCTATTTTTACAAATCATCAGTGAGTTAATACAAGATGAGAGTAAAAGTTTCTTCAATAACAAAACAATGCTTATTAAATTTCTTTAATAATAAAACTTTTCTATGTAAAAAGTAATTTTAGATTTTATTTAGTCTAATAATCGAATATTGTTGAATGGGAAAATAAAATTTTTTGATTTCAAATTCTGTAATTTGAAATGGTTCATCAAAAATTTAAGCGAAATAAGTATGTTTAAAATAACTTCAAAAAAAGTTTTCGCGTCTTTCAAGTGTTTTCACTTATTGGTTAAATTGGCTACGCAAACCACTTTAATATCTGAAAATTCATTAAATTTATAAGTTATTCAGAATTTGGCGTTTTTATTTCTTTCCGTATGCCATCAGCGAAATGTCAGTATAATCAAAAATTATAATCGGACTCTTTTATAAGGAGAATATTAAGGACTGTTTATAAAAATTTAGTAAAGCTTGCTATATTTTTATGGTACAATTGTTTAATGTACAAGAGTATATGTCACTCTAGTAAAAAATTTTACCAATAGAAATATTATTGAATTATTTTAGTTGCATGGGAAGCTTATTTCTAAAAAAAGCCATTAAAAATTCTTTGAAACAATAATGTAAAATGAAATATGAATTTTTGTCATTTTATACTTTTGCAATGAAGGATGCTAATATGTTTCGGTTGTTGAAACATTATCTAATTTTACAGGATAGTTTCATTAGAAATATGTAACGTGTTCCGTAATCATTGCCCTCGATACGCATTTTTTATATGAACTTCAAAAACTAAGTAAAAATTTATGCACTTAATTGTTTGATACGAAAAATATTACTAAATTTATCAACCTGATGAAACATTAATTTGGAATTTGAAATAAAAAAAAACAATGAAACCTGTTTGATTGTCCGAGGAAGAATTGTTGAAAAGGGATTATTAGAAACACCTTCAAAATTTAGCAATCAAATTGGTTTTGATGTTTTTTAAATTTTTTATTTGTCATAAAGTCTTTTTTTAAAAATTTTTATTTGTCATATTAAGTTTTTTTTTTCCTTTCAAATAACAGACTGTTATTTCTTGTAGTTTTGCATTTTATAAAAAAAAAAAAAAAAAAAAAAAAAAAAAAAAAAAAAAAAAAAAAANAAAAAAAAAAAAAAAAAGTGTTTGCACATTTTGGCTGAAGTTTCGTTTATAAACGTGAGCATGCTCGACATCCAAATTCTGTTAATCAGAACACAAATTAAAACTATTAGAACGTTTGTATTTTTAAAAGTTGAAACTTTTTCGTTATGGTTTACTCTTGTCAAATAAAATCCTTGACTTTTGTCTCATGCAAACTAAAAAAAATTTGCCTAGGAGAGAAAGGTGCATGATATTAGATTTTGCATATGATGGTTTTCCCTCACCATAATATTCTCTTTGAGCTTCACAACGCATGCGCAAGAAATTCCCCACTAACCGATAGGATAGGTGGTTCTAAAAGGTAGAGAATTGTTAGCTTTACGGTTAACGTTAGTCAAACATTATGCAAATGCTCCGCATTATGTTTAACTGCAACTGCAGTCATTTAATTATTGTGACATAGCGTTGTCTGCAAATTGCTCTCTTGTCATTGACTAAATACCAAACATAACGTGCTAATATGTATGCCACGAATGTAAATATTGATAGTGTAAAATCTTCGTAATTGTTTAATATTTTAGTTAATTCATGTGTTAACCATATTTTATTACCCGTTATTATTTCGTTAAACTTCTGGGAGAAAATGTGTGAGCTATTAGAACTTATTGGAAAAAATTTTTGCTTGTTAATTATTACATTATTAATATTAATTCGCCTTTTTCAGTTAAATTTCAAAATCTTATTTAAAATATATACATAATATGAAAAAAACATACCATCAACTTTAGTTTTTAAAAAAAAAAATTCAAAATATTGTCGCTTGGACACCTGTGTTTGATAGGCATAAATCGGATGATGAACTTCGCTCAATAGAAAATATAAATGAAGTTTATTAAACTTCGATAGAAAAGTTTCATTTGACTTAGTTTTGCTAATATCTTTCTGAGATACGAGATGTCTCAGAGGATAGAGCATTCGCCTTCCCATAAGGAGAACTGGGTTCGAATCCCAACGATTTCACTGACCACAGTACTAACGGGAAATATCCTCACTGGTAGACGGATCATGGGTAAGTCCCCTTTCCATCAGGCTTACCGTGGGAGGTTCTCGTGGTTTTCACCATGCAACGCAAATGCGGGTTAGTTCCATCAAGAAGTCCTCCACGAAGGCAAATTTCTCAAAATACTTGATCCAGGAGTTCCCTTGTCTTCTTGATTGGGTTCAAAATTACAAATCTACGGAATTGAATATTGGTAGTCGTAAACCCAAAAATTGGGTCTGCTGTTTAACGACGGTTATAAATTAAAAATTCTTTTTTAAAGAATATTGTTAGGACTTTTGTATATTAATTTAAGCTATATATGTGTAGTGATGGCCAAAATCATTAATTCCTTTTCGTTAAACAAAGGTAATAAAAAGTGTGTTCGCCGAAAAGCGATCACAGGCTACCCATTGGCATATCAGGATGTTCACCTGAATTAATATTGAAAACGATCCAGTTCGAACTGTAAGTTAGAATTTCTGATTCTTAATTAAAACAATAAAAATAAAAATATCGTTCAAATGATAAAATTCTCGTTCATTCACAACTCAAGAAGTATTTGTGGGATCTCTCTGGTCCCATAGCTCAAATGAACTCACCAACTTAATGCATAACTAAATTAAAAGTGAAATAATTCTGAAAAAACTATCAAACAGCAGTTTTCACCATAGCGACGCATGAGCACTGTTTACTATTATTCTTAAACACGTCCCGCAGTGGACTGATCGTTAAGACACGGTTCCCAGCAGATCACCGAAGTCAAGCATCACTGGCTACGGTCAGTGTGCGGGTGGGTGACCACTTGGATCAGTCTGCGTAGGGACCGAGGGTGTGCGGTATTGGTCCTCGTTAAACTGTGCTACCGTAAAGTGCTCGACTTCGCGCGCAGGTCGT